AAATGTGTTTGTTTTGGTTACCAACTTTCTCTTCAGCCTTTGTGTGTTTCATAGTCTTTATGTTTTGAGAAGACAGAAGATAGCATTTCGGGGAAGAAATGTTACAAGACTGTGGACTGACATGGTGAGTTTTGTACATGTCTAGGTGAAATGCAGTCCTTTTGTCAGCCATGGATGGATGCAGCATTTTTTTGCCTCGATGGCTTCTTGAAGTTTAGAACTAAAAAATAAGTTTGAAAGGTTGAGATCTTTTTGTTCTAGGATCTTGAGATAACATGGTAACCAGGAATAGTAGTTCTTTTATTAAAGCTATGGAGGTTTTTTTACCTGAATAGATCAGTTTTAACTGCAAAATAAAATCTTCAGGTCACTTCTTCATTCTGGCTTATTATGTGGTATGTTTAGGGTAGCTTTATTTGTCTCTTCCATTGATTTTTAAACATACTGTGTGTGGGGGGGGGTTTAATCCATTTAATTCCAGTGAAAAACTGAAACTCAGTGAAGCTTTGGTTTGTTTTTCGGCTATTTGTATGTGATATGGTCCATATATGTCTTTAATCTTTAAATTTTTATATTTTAATTCTCGTTCTTACTTCATACATGTATCACTGTACGGAATGGTCACTGGGTAGATTCTACAATCCTGTAATTTGTGTAGGACAGTACGTATAGAGTTGGCATTTATCTTGCTTCTAAAACTGACTTAATAATTTGTTTTGAGCTGGTATCAATAGTCACAGTGATAAAATGACAGCTAGTCTTTACCTCTGTGGAGGGACACTGTGATGGGTTGACCTTGGCTGGCTGTCAGATGCCCACCGAGCCGCTATCCCATTCCCCCTCCTGAACAGGACAAGGGGAGAGAATAAGGTTAAAAAGTTCATGGCTTGAGATCAAGACAGGGAGGCTGCTCACCAATTATCATCACAGGCAAAACAGACTCAACTTGGGGAAAAGTAATTTAATTTTCAATTAAATCAAATTAAAAATAAAGTAGGATAGTGAGAAACAAACACAAAAAATAAAACACCTTCCCCCCACCCCAACCTTCCCAGGTTCAACTTCACTCCTTTGTTCCCGACTCCTCTACATCCTCCTCCCCGAGCGGTGCAGGGGGACCAGGAATAGGCATTGCATTCAGTTCATCACACGTTGTCTCTGCTGCTCCTTCCTCCTCAGGGGGAGGACTCTGCATACTCTTCCCCTGCTCTAGCACTGGGTCCCACCCACGGGAGGCAGTCCTCCACAAACTTCTCCAACATGAGTCCTCCCCACAGGCTGCAGTTCTTCACGAACTGCTCCAGCGTGGGTCCTTTCCACGGGGTGCAGTCCTTCAGGAACAGACTGCTCCAGCATGGGTCCCCCATGGGGTCACAAGTCCTGCCAGCAAACCTGCTCCAGCGTGGGCTCCTCTCCACAGGGTCACAAGTCCTTCCAGGAGCCTGCTCCAGTGTGGGCTTCCCACAGGGTCACAGCCTCCTTCGGGCATCCACCTGCTCTGGCATGGGGTCCTCCATGGGCTGCAGGTGGATATCTGCTCCACTGTGGACCTCCATGGGCTGCAGGGGGACAGCCTGCCTCACCATGGTCT